CCGGCATCTTCAAGGTCAAACTATGAAAAATCAATGGCCTATTGATACTCCAAGGAAATTTAAATCCGACCACGTACAGGATACCATTCTTTCCACTGACTTGGGTTCGGAAGCTCCATGCATCCCCTGTTGATCGTGTGTTGTTGGATTATTAAAGTTTGTGTCCGAGGTTCTCGTCTTCTTACTATTCGCCGTGCTAGGAGTCTGTATCAAGCAACATAGCTGGGGATAGAGTATTGCCACAATCCGCATTATCATATTGTTTGCTCGCTGCGTGACAGAACCGTAACACATTCTGACAAAGCTTTTCATGCATAGGTTGTCAGATTGAAAAAAATATAATTACACGTGGCAACTATGTTAATAATCTAAACAGCGAAAGAACCTTTCACAAATTTTCAATATCAAAAAGTGGGACTAAATTCAAATGCATGCAGTCGATGCGGTCATATTTGAATATGAGAAACTTTCATTAGCCAAACTTTGCGCAAGCAAGTTCACGACTTGTTATACAATCGTTCATGAATTTGGGTGGAAGATTCAGATGCGTGAATAAACGGTTCGCTCAGGCGTGCATGCCTTCGTAACTGCATCGTGTTACCGGGCGGTTGGGTGGCGGGCATCTGGGGAGCTAGTGTTATCATGTAATTGAGCATACTAGGGCGAAAAAATAATTAGAAAGAAATCAAGACAGTTTCCGAAGCCGTTCAGCAGCGCTCATCCAGAAAATGGATTAGGAATCAAAGTGAAAATTGACACACGGACTAGGGGTACGCATGGCTTTCTGATAATATGTACTCCAAGGAAATAAGTGCTAACTCACCATGAAGTTGGGCAAGTCTGGATTAACTCGTATTTCGGGGCATTTATAAGCAAACGATCGGATGGCCGTGTGTCACATTTGGAGAATGAAGGGACCTCAGCATGGTGCAGTTACAACATGAGAAAAAGGACAGAGTAATTTCAAAACAAATTGCGTCGGAGGCAATGCGCCTTGTGCATTTTGTAGGTCTCTGTCAATTTACGCATGAGACAGCATATTTACACTTCTACAATCTACGTTTTGGATTTATAGCATGATTCCTTGAGGTGCATACTACAACCTGGGCATGATTAAGCCAGCGACACGAGCCGCACTCTTTTCAGTATTCTGTGAATATTATTGAGATTACTGGTTGGTTCAATGGCAGGCCAACTGTTTTAATTAGGAAACTGATAAGATTGCTTCTGGTGTGTTTTCGCATTTTAGAAATTCAAGGGAGATGTGGTGGTTGACTGGGCGTGTTTAGGATCGGTCGAGGTGTACTTACCACTGTGAGTAGAGCAATCAGTGAAGCGAAAATAAGGCCTGAACTCACGGGGCAAGGTGCAGTATGTGCCTGAAAATGGAGTTAGAGGTTCTTTGAAGGATGGTGTGCAGCTGAAGCATGCAGTCCTCAGCATCTTCCGGAACTGGGGGACATGGTACAAGAATAATCGTTCAGCCGTAGCATCCTCTCGCTGCCTAAATGCCATGCCAGTGAAAGACTGCACGAGGGCTTCCAGGGTACCCAAGCTTCGACAGACCCGGTGCTGAAGAACATAAAAGGGCCAGTTTACAGACGCAAACATCGGAGATGGTGATCAGCGTCCCAAAAAGTGCCATAGTTTGTGAGAGTGCTACTGCGGTTGAGCATGGGATGTTCACAACTCACTTTAAGGATGACAAGGCTGCTGTTTCTTTCAAGCTACAGTGTGCAACTGACGGCAAACAGAAGTGAAGGGAAGCTAAGATTCAGTGCTCTAAAGGATCAGACTTGACAACAAGTGCCCATGCACTCACAAGATCGTCGCTCTGGCTGTATCCATGGGCACACGAGGTCCCTGAATTCTAGCGATGAAACCCAGGCCACTTTAGCTTACGACTACGTTGTTTGTTTTTGGTTTATTTTTCGATATCCCGAAACACAACTGTTGATTTTCTGCCATTTTTATGCTGAAGAAAATGATACGGGTAGTCATAAAACGTTGCTTGAAGAAAGAAAGACCAATAAGAGGCATGTTAAGCCATGCGGACATGTTTTGCATCGTGAACTTAACTTATTCACTTGGTAAACGTTAAATTGTACATATCCTACTCGAAAACGAGGGATTTTTTCTGTAAATAATTCCAAAAATTGTTTACAGCTTTTTTGCCGGCTTTAACAATGCGCTTGTTTTATTCATACTCTTTACATGCTGAGATCTTTTCTTATTTGGGTCATGCACTAATGCAGTTTCAGTGCGCTCGCCTGTTGGCTTATGCACAACCGACCAATCAGAATGCTGGCTTGTGTGTGGATCGCATGCCTGCTTCAGCTTGTACGGATCTCTCAATATTTGCACAGTGGCATTGAATTTAAGAAAGCAACGACCTGTCTCTGATTAACTGAAACAGACAGCCAATTGAGTTTCGAATACCAGCTCGAACTTTTGAGCCCCATCTAGGCATCCATGGGTCCCATTGGTGCTAGGAATGTATTACGCCAGAGGTAAGAATGCTCCATTGGGCGATGAAATTTGATGGGTTGCGAAAATATGAATATAGATTTGGATGGTTCCGAGATGTCTCATATATCCAACAAAATCCAACATTTTGGTATAAAAAGTTTCATTCCACTCTCAGAGGTTTTGCAGTTACGAGCATTGTGCGGCCAAGGAGAACCCTCGTAAGTTGCCAATCCCATACGAATCGGCGATTCTGAAGGTTCGCCCACGTAAGCAACATATCGCTGAAAAATGCAGCCGGATCGGACCAACTTCCTGTAAAATTAGCAACTTCAAGAGCCTTTCGTCGGGCGCGCGTTCGAGGCACAATGCATTTTTCTGCAAACCCCCTGTCGGTGCGTCAAAATGTCGCACTTCTTTACATATACGGCAAACAGAAGTGAAGGGAAGCTAAGATTCAGTGCTCTAAAGGATCAGACTTGACAACAAGTGCCCATGCACTCACAAGATCGTCGCTCTGGCTGTATCCATGGGCACACGAGGTCCCTGAATTCTAGCGATGAAACCCAGGCCACTTTAGCTTACGACTACGTTGTTTGTTTTTGGTTTATTTTTCGATATCCCGAAACACAACTGTTGATTTTCTGCCATTTTTATGCTGAAGAAAATGATACGGGTAGTCATAAAACGTTGCTTGAAGAAAGAAAGACCAATAAGAGGCATGTTAAGCCATGCGGACATGTTTTGCATCGTGAACTTAACTTATTCACTTGGTAAACGTTAAATTGTACATATCCTACTCGAAAACGAGGGATTTTTTCTGTAAATAATTCCAAAAATTGTTTACAGCCTTTTTGCCGGCTTTAACAATGCGCTTGTTTTATTCATACTCTTTACATGCTGAGATCTTTTCTTACTTGGGTCATGCACTAATGCAGTTTCAGTGCGCTCGCCTGTTGGCTTACACACAACCGACCAATCAGAATGCTGGCTTGTGTGTGGATCGCATGCCTGCTTCAGCTTGTACGGATCTCTCAATATTTGCACAGTGGCATTGAATTTAAGAAAGCAACGACCTGTCTCTGATTAACTGAAACAGACAGCCAATTGAGTTTCGAATACCAGCTCGAACTTTTGAGCCCCATCTAGGCATCCATGGGTCCCATTGGTGCTAGGAATGTATTACGCCAGAGGTAAGAATGCTCCATTGGGCGATGAAATTTGATGGGTTGCGAAAATATGAATATAGATTTGGATGGTTCCGAGATGTCTCATATATCCAACAAAATCCAACATTTTGGTATAAAAAGTTTCATTCCACTCTCAGAGGTTTTGCAGTTACGAGCATTGTGCGGCCAAGGAGAACCCTCGTAAGTTGCCAATCCCATACGAATCGGCGATTCTGAAGGTTCGCCCACGTAAGCAACATATCGCTGAAAAATGCAGCCGGATCGGACCAACTTCCTGTAAAATTAGCAACTTCAAGAGCCTTTCGTCGGGCGCGCGTTCGAGGCACAATGCATTTTTCTGCAAAACCCCTGTCGGTGCGTCAAAATGTCGCACTTCTTTACATATGTGCTCAGTCCAAAAGTCACCCTCATCTGCCACCACTTTTCGTTGTAAAATGTTCTTTAGTGTCGGTTGCCGACAGTCTAAGTTGAACGGAGTCTTTAATGCGAACGAAATGCACTGGACAATTACATCCATTCTCCACACAGTTATCACCATGCCGGTTATACCACACTCGATGTTTGAATCTGACCTGAGAACTGACAGATGCAGAGTATTTGAGAATCTCACGTTGCGTGAGGCGCGGGAATCGCAAGAGCGAAGTCACCAGCTAGGCGTTGTGTCAATAAAAATGCACTCAAGACTGCATACAGTTGTCACCATGAAGATATCTACTAAGACTCAATAAGACGTCCGAATATCCAACGTCCGCAAAAAACTCCCAAAGGGGGCGCCCTAGTAAATGAATGATTCACAATCATGAGCAACCCACGTAGATAGAGAAGGAATATTCAATATTCACCATTCTGTCGCATGTGATGTGTGCTCTTCGTCCGGCTGAAAGCGTCGTAAAATGAGTTTTTTGCATGTTCATAAGCATGGCCTCTGACCGGGACGTAAGACTGGGCGTTCTCTCATACGCCGACCTATTGAGTTACATACGAGGTCGCGTCATATAAATCTGTGGCAGAGCATCCAAATTTGCTTTTACGTCCTGTCAGTCGTGTGATTCGCTTGCAACTGACAGCATCTGTTGGCTCTTACTGTTCAAGATTATTGGCCACCCACCGCTATCCACCATAAAATGATTGATTAGAGTATCGCTACCGCTGAAATATCTACCTTCATTGACACTCACTATACGAACAGACCTTTAGGAATAGCGCGGTACCAGACTGGTTGCTCGTGTTGGGTCGGTGTCTAGTGTCTCGCTCAATGGATTGGTGGTGGCACTGGGGTACCGATTTCAAGATCCACATGGGATGAATGAATACATAGAGGCAGAGGAGAAAAGCGATGAGAATTATATTTCTCACCATACACATTGCATTACCAATGACGGATAAATAGTACTAGTAATGAGTGTCTGCATGTCTAGCCGCTGGATTTTACGGCCAATGACTTCGTTCGTCTGCTCCAATCGACCGTCGGTTTTCGGCGCTGTGTTCGTTGCCCCGTCCCTTGGCGAGGAGATGGATTAAGGTTTGGTGTGGCACCGTCAGAACTGGGTAGTTGCGCCGACTGAAGAGCCAGGAATCGCCAGGCGTTGATAAAACATTCTCTCTGCAATTTATGGTGGTACGGTAAGTATGGCTAAATGAGAATAAACAGGTAGCGGTTAATAATTTTACTGCGTTCAGATACATAAAACAAATGGGACACTCATTTGCAAGTCGATTTGGTTTTCAGCAACCTTGTGAGTAGTTTCCTTTAAGAAAATAGGACTTTTTTTGCAACCAAGAAATATTATTGGCTTTACAGGTTTGCGAGGGCCCAAGATGATGAGTCTGCACTTCTAGGAGAACAGAAGGTGACCCGCAAGGCTGCATTTAGTAAAAATTTGTAACCGAACCGGGAAGAGAAATTCGTTTGAGCCGCACCACGGAACCGAACTGAAGAATCTCATTCAACCGTTCTTCGGTACCATGCCACCCGAGAGCCATGATAGCGCGAGGGTGACCAAGCATAGATACGGGCAGTCGGGATGCTGATGTTGGATTCAAACAACGGACCTTCCGGTCACACCCTAACTAATGAGGTGTCTGGAGGTAGGGAGTGGCACCAGCAAACTGAAGCTCAAGCAAAAAAAGAATAGTGGCGGAAATCTGTGGTATATGTGTAAGCTAAAACAGTAGTGACATGTCAGCGAGATTCGACAGATCTTATCACACCAGAGTGACCTCCGTCTCCTCATAACCCCAGGAAATTCGGCCGTACAAGAGGTGGTCGCTATAGGAGAGCAGACCATAACCGATAAGCGCCACATACAGGGCCCGGTTCCTTTTCCAGAGTGTATTCAACTGGCACTGTACAAGATATGGTGTAAGAGTTTATCCGGTGCTACCTTGACTGCTAGCATAGCTTCCCGTATCTGACCAGCCGCACGACATTGGGCCTCCGTTGAACATTATAGTCGTTTTATTTTCATTTATTATATCCTCTTTGATAATGTATCAGTCAGACTCGTTAGTTCGCAGGATTGGAGAAGACAAACAACTTCGAGAAGCTACACTGCAAATAAGTGGAGCGTCCCGCGATATGGAATTCGAGTGAACCAGAATATAAAAAGAGCTGATAGTCCTTGACCTGAGGATGAAGTGTGAAATGGACGTCCAGCACTTGACACCACTTGGTTCGAAATTAACTGTTCCTCGAATTCGTCCACTGGTTGCCTCAGAAAGTGCACTCACTGCACTCTGATTGCGCTTGCTTGCAAAGGGAATATCTTGAATGTATGATTTCTTGGACAAATTGGGGTTCTTACATCTTGCCACCGTATTAATTTAATAGTTCCCGATTAGGGCACAGTTACAGGATAGTTTGTAATAAAACTAAATTTCTGTTTCACTGAACAAACGTGACATAGAAGGAGACAAATCACTTAGGGCTACACCAACTCGTTTGAAAATCAGAAACACCCGGTTTTCATGCGACAAAATCAAGGGTGCCGTTACAACCTAATAGAAACAAGGGGACACAAAATCCATTATCTTCCGATGTTTTTTGCCTTCTCGGACAAGTTCAAGGAGTGTTAGTGGAACTTATTAAACACATGTGCTTCCACTAAGGTGGATGTGCTGCTGATGAAATTATTACGTTTGGACATGCGTAAACAAGTCCCTCCGAATAAAATGCTTCTTCATATGGACGTTAGTCATTTGTACGCCCTTTAGACGGGAACAAAATAACCAAGCGTCAAGTTCGGATGAATTTTCGTTAAATTGTGACAAATATAAGCGGCTGGACCACTGTGAGCAGAGGACCATGCAAAACAAGGTCTAGCAAAAATTCGGTGTACAGGCAAGCAGGTTCCCCTCCGTATGAAGGGTACCTCCAGGGAAAAACCACGTAGGGCGTCCCCCAAGTTTGTACAGCATACATAGGAGTGGCTAGTAGATTTACCGAAAAAGACGCGCGTTAAGGCTGGACTCCCAAACAGGCCAAGTGAGCATGGTACGGCGAAGTTACGGTGAGTGCCACTTCGCGCGTCTTTTGGGTGTTAAAACAGATTTTGATGGTTTGTCATGCAGGGGATGAACAGTTTCTGGGGTTGGGGATAAAACGGTAACCCTCAAAACACAGTGTTCCTTATATGCAAATCAAAATCTTATTTTGACCCGACGGTCACCAGTTCTAGTGGGATCCAGGTCAGTTGTGTATCTGAAAGAAGTAGTACGCAGGGAGTAGTACTTCGTCGGACATCTGTACGCGATGTCCTTATTAGTTCTGTCCATGTGATCAGTAAGGCGTTGACACAGACGCTAAGAGCTGCGATCCCGCGCGATCGCGAGCTTAATGACTGTCCAGTGTTGCGACTGGTTCCTGCACAATACACTGCACAAATGGTCCCGTTTTCCACTAACAGACGCCGATTTAGTATGCATATATCATGGACAGGCAGCACTTTCTTGGACGCGTTCACATTGCATCGGTTTGCTCACTGGTACGCAACAGTAACAGATCTCGTTGTTCATCAGTCTTTTGGTTTAAGCGTCTTCAGTTACAACAGTGACCAGACGTTAATCGAGTCAGGTTCTGCTGTTCAGTCAAAACCAAACTCCGGACTCTGATCCTGAATAATACTACTCACAGTCGGTTTGTTTTTTATGGGACCCACACTATGTGACTATGATGATTATGATTATGATTTTACGGCCAAAATAACAAAACTTTGGTGCCCAAAGCCGGCTGTATATCATTGACGAATAGAAGAAACGACACGGCAACGAGAACTTCGGTTGCGATAAAAAAATAGTGAAAACAAAGGTCGTTCGATATAATGGAATGTAGTGTTGAGCTCAAGATGGCGATAACACGCGAGTGGCCGGAAGGTCCGTGGTTCGAACCAAAGCCCAGCATCTCGACTGATGTTATCTCATTTCTCGTGCTTCATTCGGGTGGCATGGCAGCTATGCATTGGGAAGGAGGTCACGGCTTAACGATCATTATTTAATATTAATATTGTACTGATACTAATATTATTTAATATCAGTGCTTAAACGCGACATTTTCGGATCACAAGGTTAAAGCTGCAACTAGATGTGCACCCAGTTTCTCAGTTCACGATAGACTGTATCGACCAGTTGTCACAAATGAACCCGTTGAGTGGCACCCAGTGGTTTAGAACGCTTATTTTGATGGTAATGTGTTGGAATATTGGTAGCTCGGGTGTATTGGTTGGTAATTGATCAGGTGGCTGCCAACGTCGGCGAACAGATCAACAGCCACCTGATCAATTACCAACTTATTTTGATATTGTATAGTAATACATACCCATAAGAGACGTTGGTAATTGATCAGGTGGCTGCCAACGTCGGCGAACAGATCAACAGCCACCTGATCAATTACCAACTTATTTTGATATTGTATAGTAATACCCCTCAATAAGAGACACTCCACTTTACTGGATATTTTGGTTTCCGATGGATGTATCATTGAACTTCCCATAAGACCCACCGAGCCGGACAGGGGAGGTGAAATACGGTAGGAGACATTTTGAAGAAACTGTGTATCATTGAATCACATATCCGTATCCATTCTTGTGAAGGATAAGACCAGTAAAGTAGAGCAAAGATGAGAGTAATGAGGGAGGCACCTACAAATGATTCTGGCACGCTTGTGGAAGAAGGGACCGACTTTAGGCACGGTATGGGGACACGAGTTTCAGAGGCACCGTTCGTTTCCTCACATCCCTCCATGATAAAGCACTGTTAACTATTATGCCAATAAAGTGTTCGCCGGCACAGCAGCTGACTGGAGGTGAAAGCGGGCATTTATTTGGATGAAGCACTAGCTTGCTGTTATGTACAAGCCAGACGGAACTAATACAAAAAATGTTCTAGACACTATGCACAAGTGGGGAGACAGCACATCCGCTACATATTAAAACAACGGCTTTTTTCGGACAAGAAACTTTTCATGGAACACAGCGCAAAAATTTTCTGGATATAAACCCATCGAAAATTGCTTGAGTAGATCCATATTGTTGGGGAATGTTCTTTATTGATCAGGTGCTTGAGCAGCGCCACTCCAGCAGTAGTCATATTTACTGACTTAGAAGCTGCATTTGACACTCCCAACCGTCACAAACTGTTTGGTAACCACAGGTGTTCCTTCGAAAATTTTATTGCTCATAAAAGTACCGTATGCCTACTAATGTGGTCGTGTACTAGTAAAACTTACGCTTGTGTTTATTGCGTACGTCTTCGACCGTTATTGACATGTTACATTAAACTTCCCTGCCTGTCTCTCACAGTTCGAGAATCGAAATGCTCCTGCGGTCATCTACTCATGACATTGAGGAACAGCCATACAAGGCCGAAACTGCATAATAACCTGCCCAGAAAAGTTATGACTCGTCTGCAATTCATCTGAAATCTCAGAAAAGATTATTACACTCACCGGTATTATCCGTTTTTCCAAATGTTCCTCTTCCAGTCTGGCCAGCTCGTTTGGAGATAACAGCACAAGTCGAAGGGTACCCATCACCATCGCCACATCTTCCAGAACTGGTTGCATGTACGCGGAAGCGTAGGGTGTCCCCACATCCTGCACGGCATCGATCCGGCTATTCTCAGAGGAATCCTGGACGTTCTCTTCTTGTATGGGCCTCACCTGCATGAAAGATGTCCGGGAGCTGTCCCGTTCCATAGTGATATACTGTTCTTCAGCCCGCTTCAAAAAGTTTTCCGCCCAAAAACAAGCCACTTCGACAACATTCAGCTCGTCGAGTTGCAACTGATCTCTCTCCAAGATCAACTTCATTGCTGTTGGGGTCAGGGACAGTAGCTCATCGTTTGTAGGGTTCAGAAGAAACTATTATTTGAAAAAAAGGTAGGAAGACTTGATTTCCTCCATCAATTCGGTAAACACCTGCAGAATAACATTTTGACATTGAAGGGGGACAGCACACTGAATATTATCCACTACGGAGAAAATGAGCGCGGGGTAGATTAATGTTTATGGCGAGAACTTACTAGCCGGAAGGTCTGTGGTTGGAACCCATATAACTCACACAACATGAGCGGTTAGTAACCGAGCTTTTGCCCATGGCCAAGCAAGATGTTTTGAAGTTCCAGGCTGTGAATTCGAATAGTTGATAGATATAACGCTTGAAACATGTCCCCTTTATCCATCTCACTAAAACTAATGGAATATATGCGCTGTGACATGTTCGCATTTATTTTACTCTCTCTTCAGTGACGGACGTAAAACATGGCGGCTATATGAAACCAAGGGTGGAAACAATGTTGGACAACTAATGATTGCTTTAGCAGTAAACGAAGCGTTGCTAATCTAATCGAATTGAATCCGGTTATGTCCAAAAATACAGTTGAAACAAAAGATTAGATTACCCCAACACTGATCGAATGATGTATAGAAACTAACCTGTCAGTAGCTGTTTCACATCGCTTCTACTTTGTATCGTATATAAACTGTGTATCTTGGGTCTGTGACTGGAAACAGTAGAACTAATATTACTGTGTCGCAGATAATGTTTTCCATCAGCTTTCATGAAATATTTTATTACACAAACAAACATGACCCAATATGGAAATCCTTGTGAAACGAAAATTGCTCTACGGATTCGCAATTTCATTTCAATAAACCCTTATTACCAAGAGTGTTGGCATTCTGATTAACTGGTACACCAAAGTATTATTAGGTTTTGGAACCTCTATTAATGCCGAGATGTTTAGAGATCCATCCAGACTCTCACTAGCTAAGCTGACACGGGTGCCGTCTCTGACACATGAGATGCTGAATTCGAACCGTACGCACGATGACTGTTCAAATGAAACCAACTTGTGGTAAATATTTTCGCACCCCGCAAATAAGCAGAGGAAATCCTGAGTTGTTGGACTTCTTTAACAGACTGAGTTGTAGTGAAAAATCTCTGGCCCGTTTGTAAATGCGGTTCAGGGCAAAGATTCCTTGATTAACTAAGGGTTCGTGACTTGATGATTCCAAGGACCGTGAAGGAGTAAATAACAATGATGACTTCAACAAAGTATAAGGCGCCGTCCTCATCAATATGGGCTTGGAAACGTCGAAAGAAATGGAGAAGCGAGCACAACAGACTTTTTCGTCCATAATTGACCACCATGATACGCAGTGGTTGCTTCGGTCATCCGAAAGACCTATGCCTCTTATTCTTGCCTACCTTAAGTCAGAATGCGCACCGATCTACGTTTTTTTTATGTATTCGCCGTGCAGACTCGCTCAGGCGCGAACACGTGCACTTCTCTACATGTGTTCAATATGTGCTGAGGCGGTGGAAAACAAGCCCGCTTCGTACATCAGACATCCAGAGGCACGGCTGAATATGAGCTCTGGAGCTGTGAAATGAACGAAGCTCAAGTTGTGCTTCCCCGTTTCAGAATAGAAAGAGGAATGAGTGAGGAGACTGATGTGGTCAAAAACTCCAGAGCGACGTACTTGCCAATTTTCGACGAAGTATGAAAATCATCGCTCGCCCATCAGGTGACAGTCATTAACATCCCGATGATTGCGTGATATCGTTGATTGCGAGTGTCTCTTACTGTGACGGGATCATTCACCAATGCGACAACAAGGGTGATAAGATAGTGGAATGTTGAGTTTAATACTAGGATTAGCAACGCACACATTTGTGTTGTAACATTGTGGCAAGAGGACGTGCACTTATAGTGTGAAATCTGGTTGGGGTGACACAATACAGATATCGAAGGGCTGATGTGGTGATGAGGAACAGAAAATCATTTGCTCAAGGCAGAGAATAACGTAAGGCGAGGATGTTCTAACAACTAGAGTGCACAACATACAGTAATACCCTCGAGGGCGCACAATAGGACAGTCAGCGGTTTGGTTTCTTCTGGGGGTTGTCTCTCTTCAGATGGAGTTTCCCACTTCAACAAGAGCAGAGAGTAACACCAGTATTGGGACTGATGTCTCACTACCATACAACAATGTTTAACTATATATGTCTATTTACAACAATGGTAT